CAGTAGCGCGTCAAAACGAGCGCGTATTGGTTGTCAAGCAATTTTGTATTCTTTACCACACAAAAAGTCCTTAACGACAACAGCGCGTATTTTGACCCGCTTTTTTGATTTCACGAACTAACACAATTGAATTTAATTGTGTTAGTTCGTGATGTAAGCGACGGTTTAATAGGCCTAGTTCAAAATCGTTTCTGAATAATTACTTAGACCTAGAAAATGCGTATCAAAATGAAAATCGCAAGCGCACTTTATATAGACTTAGTATTGTCAATATACATGTTTATATCTTAGTAACGGCACGGTGAAACAATAATATAGCATAATAAAGAGCTCGTACAGCATATTGTCAAGAATGCTCTAGGCACGAATGACGATAATGACATTGCCGTATTCGTATTCGTTATCGTTTTCGTAAGGTTGCGAAATCTCCCTATTGGCACAATGACCACCCTTTTAAAAACCATAAAATGTATCAAGGTAAATTACGTCATGTAAAGTTTGTGCAAGCAGAGCGTCAAAGGATGTTTAATTTTTTTTAAATACTGTTTAAAAAATTAAAATAAAATAGCATAGACTATTTGGCTATGGGGTATGGGTCTGAAATAATACCACCCCCCCCCCCCATCTTCTGAAAACAAATTTGTTTAATAAGGATATAATATTGTATAGCAGTGAACTTGTTATGTAGTAAATAATATGTTAATATATGTTTCCTAACAAATGTAGCTGATATTGTATTTAGATTGTTTGCAAAATGCTAATAATGATGATGATGTTTATATATAGGCGCAAAGCGCTACTGCGAAGGAAGCGCTAAATCAGATCAGATGCGTTTTATATTCAAGGACTTCTCCACAATAACACTGAAAGTATTATTTAATATACTGTATTTCCAAATATTACAGAATATATTCATGATTAAGTCACAATCTGTCAGGTGACGTCACATGGCCAAGGACATTTCCTTATATTGATAATAATAATAGACTTCATACAGAAATGCATCATATTGCAAATTGCTATGAAAATACATAATAATACAACCAACTCCGACTAATAGGCCATCTGGTAATTCATTTAAAGGTGATTGATTAATGAATAGTTATTATTGTTTGAAGGTTTGCATGGCGCAGTAATAATATATTAAATGTTTGTGGTACACAGACGTATACGGTTTTGAAAAGAACTATTTTTTTGTTGAGAAAGTTTTGCCATAATATAAGTATTACCCTGTTTGGACTCTGCAGATATTATTCTCCTGATGACGATTGAAGCAACTCAATCGAAAAGTATCAGCAACTCAGTTTCAAGTCGAGATTTTCTGAACAAAACAACAGTCCTTTTCAGAACTATCTACGAGGTGTACCACAAGCACTTAGTATATATAGTTATTATAATGGCAAAATACTGAGCTACCTTAATAAACATACGGTGATATCCATAGTTACTTTTGCATTGATTCGTAGAGAATTGATTAAAATACGGTGGTAGGCCTACTACTAGTAGGCCTAACTAAAAAGCCGGCTTTAGGCCTTTACTCAGGGCATGGAGTTGTTATTTAGAAGGAGTCACAACAAAATCCTCTCTTTTGATCAGCCTACTTTTCCGACAAGATAACGAAAGCAGAGAGGTAGATAACGACGAGGTTCAATTACCGAATATGAGCATGCGCAGTAAACCTTCTTATGCTTGTGTGTGACGAAAAAGCATGGCAACTAGAGAGAGTGTCAGTTATCAACTACACGCTATAGTAGCGTCAAACCGATATATGCTCCTATATCATTTCCCTGCTACGAAAACATGTTCAGTTTCAACTCAAATTACGTTTCTGTACGAAACTGTAAGAAAATGAGAAATAAAGAAAATGATAGTTAACAAGTTGCTTAAACTATTTGTCCTAGTTATAAAATGGAGATACGTGCGGAAAATATAAAATATAGGCTTTAAAATTTCCCAAAAACCCATGAAAATTACAAATGACAGTGTACGAACAAACACATATAGCCACTTCAAATAGTCGTAACTTTTTAACGAAAAGGCGAATTTTTATGCGGTTTTTTTGTAAATTATTCTACGTAAAACTCTCTTGAGATGCAAATTTATTGAACAGCGAAAATTGAATAAAAAAAACTCTGCGCATGCTCAAGGCATGCTCTACTGGTCGTTTGTCACGAAATTATTTTCTCTACAAAGACAAAATTTTAACAATCGAGGGCGCAAAATCGTCGGAAATGTACCCTATTGACAAAAGACACGCAGTTAATCACGGTTCTCTTTGAAGATTCAGTACACCGCGCTTCGCTCATTGGCTGTAGATAAGTAGATAATGTGTTGTGACTCCTTCTAAATAACAACTCCCTGCTCAGGGGTACGTTACCCTACCAGTCATTTGCGCCCTGCCACTCGACACCACTAGGACTTTTGTTTAAAAATGATAATTGCTAGATTGTTGCTAATAATTGGAATAATAATTCAATTTATGCCTCAAAGAAACCCTCTTGAAAAGGCTTAAGTCTATATTAATTTCACCAAACTCGCACTTTGTAAATTATTTTGCATTCATTGTAACGGAAGTCATAGCGCCCACTAAAGTAGGAAAAGTGTGGACTGATCATAGAGCTATGGTACTGATTTCGTGTCCTGTTTATTCGTAGTATAGCCTGCCTGAGTGCTTGCCATTGTTTAGGTCCTACTGGATTGCAGGGGGCGCTGGCACTTCTTTTCTAATATTTTCTATTAGAGCCGCCGCGTGGAATTACGTTCTCGTCTGTGTGAAGTCAATTCAGCGCCAACAGTAGTAGAGGCTACCGTACTCGATACAGGTTAGCCAGTTGTCTGATCAATCTCAGAAGGATAGATGGATAGAAGGATGCAAGATAATCCTTAAAATTGTTCTCCTTCTAATGATTGTGTATTCTTAGTACGAGGCCTACATCATTCTGCGGACAATATTTTGTCTTTGATTTTGTGTAGATCTACGTTTTTGTAATTGTAAACAACAATTATTGTATCGTTTTTCACGACATAAACATTGTTTCATTCCATCAAAAATTTAGCTTAGGGCTACTAAAAACTGGAATAATGAAACAGATTCCTTCACATTATGAAGTTTAGTAATCGCGCACTCACTTAAAATAATAATTAGTTGTTATTAGCATGCGGATTGTAGTTATTAAAAAATAAATAAAAAAAAAACACAGAATACTGTACTGCTTATAGGACAGATATGCCTCTCTGTAACCATTCATAGAACAAAACTTTAAACTGTAAGATTCCTTGTTTTAACAGTATGTTTTAAGTAACTATTATTGCGTTATACTATCATCGTTGACTCCCCTTCGTTAACGCTTTGAGTTCGACATCTGAAAAGTTTACGAAAAGCCACGTTAAAATCTTGACGCATGAACGCGTAGATAAACGGATTTAGAGAGGAACTACAAAACATCGCAGCTTCTACAATCCACATTAAGACCGCATATGTAACACCATAAATGTAACTCACAGATGTCGTAACGACAAGAGGAAACAATGTAATAACAAACACCGAAAGTATTAGACTTGTAGTTTTAAATGCCTTTTGTTGAATCTCCCAATATATTTTCATAGTTCCACGCTGAAGAATGTGGGACGGGCTTCTCGACCCATCCTGACTGCTCTTCTCGCCACTGTGTTGGTGGTGTTTTTCTATCTTCTTGTTCTGTTGCCGAGCGATGCGATACGTTTTGAAGTGTAAAACAATTATGATTATCATGATTAATGTAAAATACACACAGCATATGCAGTTGCGAACTTTGTTCCCAAAAGTATCGAAATGCATTCCCGCTTTCGACTTTTCTAAGTCCCAGAAAAATGGTATGATGCAAGGATATAGGCTTGCGAACCAACTAAGCGCTATCAAGTATAACGTTCGTTTTGGAGAAAGTTTTGAAATGTATGTTAAAGGCCAATTCACTGCCACATACCTATCAAACGTTATTAATAATAAATTATGTATAGAAGCCCAGATGAAATAAAACAGCGGAATAGTATACAGTGAACTGCCCTCTGAAAACTCTGTGCCTACAGCAGTATTTTGAAAACTTCGCCTGTAAATTAAATAATAAATAACGGTCGTTGGAACTGCAATGAGTCCAGTGAGAAGGTCTGCTACGGCCAAACTGGCAACGAAGTAGTTTCGTACGACGCGTAGTGACGGCTCGTAATAAATTGCTAGAATTACGATAGCATTACCAACGACGCTTGTTACAAAAATCGAACCAAACACGAGCGAGACGTAAGAGATGACCCAGGCGGAGATTTCTGTCCTCGGATCACAATCATCATCCTCATCCGTGTTAAGAGAACAATTTATTGCGTCACCATATTCCATAATTTCTAGTAGGAGAGAAATAAGACAAAAATAATTAGTTTTAGAATATACATTAAATTGGTGATTTATAGAAAAATACTGTATATCACACCGATGTGACAAAACGTTCGATTGTTTTTAAACAATTTACAAAGTGAAACATCTAAAATGAAAATTTATATGCCATCATATAGCCCTATTTTATAAATCCTATTTTATAAAAACTTGAACTAAATTATACAACATTTTAAAAATACATAAAGGACTTTAATGCAGATGGTGCATATCATCTGAATCAACTTTCTAGTTATATATAGTTGTCTCAAACATCGTTATGTTTATTACCTCTTTTTTACATAGAAATCTACTTACAAAACTCGTCAACATTTTTCAGTTTCTTTTGTGAAGATCCTTAGGCCTATGTTTGATCATTTGTTGCATTGGTGAATGATTTTAATAAAATCAATTAATTATCATACAAAGGGGAAACTAAAAATACATAAACAATATTCTAGGAAATGAACCAAAGCAGGAAACTCAATAAAGTCATTATAAAAATTGATTTAAAATACTGTAATCAAACAGTAGGATTCATAAATAAGAATCGGAATTGTCAACAAATTTCAGCTCAGGCAAATCTAATATCTGTCATTTTTTTTAAATTTAGAAACGCGAGAGAGGCAGAAAAACGATAAGAAAGAAAAAACAACAAGAGACAGAACAAAAGTCACAGCAAAAAGTTAACATAAAAACGAGTCAAGGTGCACACGTAAGCAATGTTTGAAGGTTTGCTTCGTGGTAGAATCAATAACGGACTGTTGAAGATTGAAGATTATTCCACAGCCTGAAAAACTTGTCAATAAAAGAATGTGGTGAAGTGAGAGATGGACTGACTTAGAATGGGAGAGAAGAGAGGCTTGAGGTGTGAACTCTGTGATAAAGCAGAGAGGGTTTAAGTATACCGAGAGAAATGGAAAAATCATCAAACATAATGCGAATAGACCTAAAAGTTGACAATCCAGAAATATCACTACTGGTTTTGAAAGGCTGTAAGTGAAACTTTATAATACCATTTCGATTCGGTATTTTAGGACGTAATTTCCTACGAAATTGCAAAGTTCAATGTAACGTTATACTTACGTTGTTTTCTTGATAACATATCCACAACGTTTGCGAATGTTATAATAACGTCCTGTGTTTGCTATGTTGCAATAATGTTTGCAGTGCTGGATTGGATAGCAGGTTGGTTCTCATTGATGTGATGTTAAGCCCTGAGGATGATAGAACAATTTGGAAATACTGAAAATTTCTAATTAGCTATAGGATTGCTGTTGTTTGATCCTTTAGTAGTTGTCGTTTGAGATATGCCTATAGCCTTTAGGGCCCAATCACCAAGCATGTCAGGCTGAACGTACATGCGCAGGAGAAAAACCACAATTTGTAGGGGAGAAAATATATGTTTAATTTCTACATATTAGTGGACTCCAAAATCGATTACATAAGCCTTTGAAACCCCTAATTGTCAATTTTATTTGGGGTGGGGGAGAAATTCGCCCCCATGGAACACTTTCGAGAGTTTTTGAGCGATACCCGACCACACCCATTTTTTCGTCGGGGACATCGACCCCCCCCCCCCGTCGAGGACCTCGACCTCTGTTGGGCAAATCCTGGCACCACTACTGTAGGGTCATCGGACCTGTAGGTCCGGAGTGCCCATCCCTCTGTCGTAAGCGTTGGGGGGAGGGGAGGGCAGTCTGAGCAATGCTTTGAGGAGACTTCTTCTCACAGCGAGTCTTTTACCCATTTATAATCCTGAGACACAAACGCAGGTAAAGTGTCTTGCGCAAGGACACTGCGTTCTGCACAGAGAGAATTTTGAAACCCCGACCACGAGGTAGAGAGTTCGAGTCTCACCCGCTGCGCCATATACAGTAGTCCTATGTATACAAATGGGTTCAGTAATTTACTACAGAAACAATGTTTTGTCATTTACCTATTGTTTAAAATGCTATTCATCAAACTGTAATATATTATACATATATACCTCGATAGATCCACAGATTCTAATGATATATTCAATATCTATCGTATTATTGTCAATTTTCCTTAATACGGTAGGCCTATGGTAATTTATGATGTAAATACATGCACAGACCATAGACCAATCCTAAAGTATTCAAGATGTTTTATGAAAAGATGTTCTTCGTGAGNNNTATATAAGTTGCTCCTTTCCAGTAATGCAATTTAGAATGCGTTGATTTTCTGGCTAGAGTACCGGTATCATGCTATGTCGCAATATCTCAATAAGTGAGTCATTTATTTTGAATTAGACATTTTTTGATTATTGCTTTTTTCAATAACCTTGTGTCAGTAAAGGACTTCAAATATAGCTTATTCCACCTACTAAACATAAACAGATTTTAGCATTTTGTCATTTTCACATTTTTAACTATATAATCTACATTTTATATTTAACCTTTTTACTGATCTTATTTAACTTTTAAATTCTATGTATAATAAATTATCTTTTAGGCATATGTCATTTTATTATTATTCTAAATTGCTTTAATCCTTAATTTTGTAAGCTTTGTCATTGTTGAAGCCTTGTTTGTAACTTTATCCTAGTGTGTTTATAATTTTAATACTCGAAAATCGCACTGTAAATGTCACGCAATTTAGCTATGTACCATTGCTGCCATGTTGATATATGAATAAAATGAAATGAAATTGCCATCGGAGTCACGTCGGTTCACCTAATCAATTGATAATTTAATTTTATTTTTTTATTTAAATGATAAAAATTCCGTTGCACTATTATTATTATTATTATACTGTATCCAATGTTGAGCATAGTATCTATATTATATGCAGGTATATAAGTGTACATATACATATTGATATTGTTTGGCCTCATAGCTCAGTTGGTAGAGCATCCGAATGGTAATTGGAAGGTCTTGGGTTCAAATCCTGATATGGAAATACATCAGGATGATAAATATTTTTCACAAATATTCACACTTGATCTCCTGGCCATGGTTTGAAATTTTACGATAAACGGTGAAGACATAATGTTCTATTTTTACAATTTCGTCACAATTTTAAACAACACATGCAGACAATTTTCGACTACTAAACAACGTCATATGCTCACAATAACATCAGTGGTATCCTATATTCACTTGCGGTAGTAAATTTAAACAAGTGACATCATTCCGGTTTAATCATATTTTATTTTGAACTTTAGAAGTGTACTGTATACAGATTGTCTGTTCCGTCGCTATAAATGTAATGAATACACCACACATGACATTTAAGAAGAATAATGCATAATATCGTAATGATGCAATTGGCGCAACGAGCTGTTATCGTTGTGCTATGACGTCGCTTCCCATTAATGATAGTGAATAACCCACAACAGTTCATAGGCCTATAATGTTTAGGCCTACAATATCTCAACAGGAATATAAAAACATTATACTACCAACAATCAGTGGCTGCGCTACGGGGACAGGGGTCCATGCAATTTTCTTGCCCCAGTTTTCTCCCTCCCCCACCAACTAATAAAATGAAGAAAAGAATAAAAAGCATAGGTGAGTATTTAATACACATTAGTAGATTATTTACATTATAATATCGATTAAATAAGCCTAAAACCCCTAAATTGTCATTTTTTTGGGGGGGGGGGGTTCTCCCCTGGACCACTTTTCAGACATTTGAACGACGCTAGACCACGCCCACCTCTGACCACTCCAGCATATTTCCACCCCCACTCAAATTTTACCTTGCCCCTTACTCCATCGCCCCCACCTTAACAATACATCAGTACACTGACATGCGTCGGTCGTTGCAGTACCAGCAGATTATGAATTAAAAATCCTGTAATTATTGCAGTTGAATGATCGTATGTATAGGCACATTTTAAGTAAGGTTGTTCTTCTTATCTTTTATATTATGTGCGGATACATGCCAGTTACAGAATAATGACAAGATTGAAAAGACAAAAAAAAATCCATGATGACTTAAAGACACAAAACATTAATGTAATATCTCCACGGTTGTATTCAGATTACTCATCAATTAACATTGTTATAGATAAATGGATAATCAATCACAGTGAAGAAGTCGTAATGAAGTTGTCTCATCCTTGATAAGCGCATTCAAACAAGACCAAACTCCCTATGGCACATGTAACTAATCATTCCAATATATCATAAAAAATTATTGATAATCGTAATGGTAATGGCATTAGGGGTGTTTCGTAAGCTTGCCAATACCGACAGCTGATCATATTCATCTCGTATATGTTATACAGTATCGGGCACGTTTGAATAATATGAATGAAGATAGAAATATTAAGGAATGTTATAATGTTTAGATGCGAAAAACAGAGAGATGAACTTTATTGGGTTTACAACGTTTAAAAAGTGATATGTTCTATTGGTTTAGGTGAAATATGTCTTTCTCAAAATATTAATAATATAAAAATGTTTATTTCTGAAATTGAAATTAGATTGACAGATATAAAACGACATAATTTTTTTGAAAAGACAAATTCATATTCCAAATCCAGATATTGCAAATGTTCAAGCATACATCTAAAATAGGTGAACACTTGATAAAAAAAAAATTAATTATAGATATAAAAGAATGATACAAAACTTAGATTGGGTATTTTGGAACTAGAGCTAAGGGTAGATGGGTAAATATAAAAAGTAGAGACAAATTATGCAAATTATGTCACTTAGATAAAATAGAAAATAAATTGAATTTTGTATCAGTTTCTCCCATTTTTATTTAAATTACAAAAACATTTCTACCACATTTTGTCAACAAAATTACTTCAATATTTTCTTTTATTTGATCTCGTATAAAGATGTGAATATTGTCAATAATTTATCAAAGCATGACTGTATATTATACCTATAATTATAGTAATGTATATTAAAAAAATAAAAGAAAGAAACCCTCTCTTAATTTGTATTTATATTTTATTACGTTAAAAGGGCCGGAGGCCTTTTTATTGAACAAAAGCATTCGGGCACAGAAAAAAAGTAGCGAATGTTTAAGGCAAGAATGACAATAATGAAAACGACGTATTCGTATTCGTTATAGTTTTCGTAAGATTGCAAAATCTCCGTAATACACAATAACAAGGCCTTTATAAAAAATAAAATAATATTAGTTATGATCAAACTAATTACGATGCTTATGATAAGTATGCTAGCAATATGGTATACACTGGTATATAACTGTAATAATGATAATTAAATTATTTGGTTTTTTTTATTGTTCATACGAAATTGTGAAAATGGTATCCAATACGGTTACGTTGTCAACCCTTTTCCCTACGGTAATATGTTTGTAACAACGTAGGGAATTCATGCCTTTTGTATGAATCAAGGATCATATTCAGCTAGTACGGTACAGTACAGCATATTGTCAATAATGTTTTGGGCACGAATGACGATATGGATAATGATATGTTATTATTATTATTAATATTATTATTATTATTATTATTAATATTATTAATATTATTATTATTATTAATATTATTATTAATATTATTATTATTATTATTATTAATATTATTAATATTATTATTATTATTATATTATTATATTATTATTATTATATTATTATTATTATTATTATTATTATTATATTATTATTATTATTATTATTATTAGTAGTAGTAGTAATAGTAATAATAGTAATATCAATATTAATTTTATTACTATCATTATTATTATTATTATCATGTCAATTGTAGGCTTCATATCATAATGGTTATTATACAGTAGTAATAAGTAGGCCTATTATTATTATTATTATTATTATTATTATTATTATTATTATTATTATTATTATTGAATGTAGGTTTAAAAACTAGTAGCGTCTCAGATACAAAAAATGTAAAATCGAGTTTTAAGAGTGAGTGCTTTTGAAACTTCTTCACTGGATGTCATTTAATATTTAGTATTACGTGTCGTGTAATCGAAAGCTCAGCTCCCTTATTTAATGATCGTTTTCACAGATTTTATTTCAAATGTTTATTGCACTTTAAATAATACTTCTGTTGCGTGTGTCTTTAAGATGGATAACTATCATTCAGCGTTTCCGATGCCGCAATCATATTATTATTATTATATTATTATTATTATTATATTATTATTATTATTAGTAGTAGTAGTAATAGTAATAATAGTAATATAAATATTAATTTTATTACTATCATTATTATTATTATCATGTCAATTGTAGGCTTCAT